CGACGCTGTACGCGTCCGGCATGGAAAGCACCGCCGCGGTGACGGCCGCGACGCCGATATACGGTGCCGGCATCCACAGCTCCGCCGCGATGACGGCCGCGACGACGGTGTATGCGGCTGGCGTAGCATCGTCGGCATCCCTGACCGTGAGCGCGGGGTCGCTCACTGCTTCGTCTGGCACCTTGACGGTCGCCGGTATGAGCAGCGCCCAGGCCATCACGGGGAGGACGACGCTGTACGCGGCCGGCATGGAAAGCACCGCCGCGGTGACGGCCGCGACGACGATCTACGGTGCCGGCATCCACAGCTCCGCCGCGATGACGGCCGCGACGACGGTGTATGCGGCTGGCGTAGCATCGTCGGCATCCCTGACCGTGAGCGCGGGGTCGCTCACTGCTTCGTCTGGCACCTTGACCGTCGCCGGTATGAGCAGCGCCCAGGCCATCACGGGGACGACGACGCTGTACGCGGCCGGCATGGAAAGCACCGCCGCGGTGACGGCCGCGACGACGATCTACGGTGCCGGCATCCACAGCTCCGCCGCGATGACGGCCGCGACGACGGTGTATGCGGCTGGCGTAGCATCGTCGGCATCCCTGACCGTGAGCGCGGGGTCGCTCACTGCTTCGTCTGGCACCTTGACCGTCGCCGGTATGAGCAGCGCCCAGGCCATCACGGGGACGACGACGCTGTACGCGGCCGGCATGGAAAGCACCGCCGCGGTGACGGCCGCGACGACGATCTACGGTGCCGGCATCCACAGCTCCGCCGCGATGACGGCCGCGACGACGGTGTATGCGGCTGGCGTAGCATCGTCGGCATCCCTGACCGTGAGCGCGGGGTCGCTCACTGCTTCGTCTGGCACCTTGACCGTCGCCGGTATGAGCAGCGCCCAGGCCATCACGGGGACGACGACGCTGTACGCGGCCGGCATGGAAAGCACCGCCGCGGTGACGGCCGCGACGACGATCTACGGTGCCGGCATCCACAGCTCCGCCGCGATGACGGCCGCGACGACGGTGTATGCGGCCGGCGTAGCATCGTCGGCATCCCTGACCGTGAGCGCGGGGTCGCTCACTGCTTCGTCTGGCACCTTGACCGTCGCCGGTATGAGCAGCGCCCAGGCAATCACAGGGACGACGACGCTGTACGCGGCCGGCATGGAAAGCACCGCCGCGGTGACGGCCGCGACGACGCTGTACGCGGCCGGCATGGAAAGCACCGCCGCGGTGACGGCCGCGACGACGATCTACGGTGCCGGCATCCACAGCTCCGCCGCGATGACGGCCGCGACGACNGTGTATGCGGCTGGCGTAGCATCGTCGGCATCCCTGACCGTGAGCGCGGGGTCGCTCACTGCTTCGTCTGGCACCTTGACCGTCGCCGGTATGAGCAGCGCCCAGGCCATCACGGGGACGACGACGCTGTACGCGGCCGGCATGGAAAGCACCGCCGCGGTGACGGCCGCGACGACGCTGTACGCGGCCGGCGTGGAAAGCACCGCCGCGGTGACGGCCGCGACGACGATCTACGGTGCCGGCATCCACAGCTCCGCCGCGATGACGGCCGCGACGACGGTGTATGCGGTCGGCGTGGAAAGCACCGCCGCGGTGACGGCCGCGACGACGATCTACGGTGCCGGCATCCACAGCTCCGCCGCGATGACGGCCGCGACGACGGTGTATGCGGCCGGCGTAGCATCGTCGGCATCCCTGACCGTGAGCGCGGGGTCGCTCACTGCTTCGTCTGGCACCTTGACCGTCGCCGGTATGAGCAGCGCCCAGGCCATCACAGGGACGACGACGCTGTACGCGGCCGGCATGGAAAGCACCGCCGCGGTGACGGCCGCGACGACGATCTACGGTGCCGGCATCCACAGCTCCGCCGCGATGACGGCCGCGACGACGGTGTATGCGGCTGGCGTAGCATCGTCGGCATCCCTGACCGTGAGCGCGGGGTCGCTCACTGCTTCGTCTGGCACCTTGACCGTCGCCGGTATGAGCAGCGCCCAGGCCATCACGGGGACGACGACGCTGTACGCGGCCGGCATGGAAAGCACCGCCGCGGTGACGGCCGCGACGACGATCTACGGTGCCGGCATCCACAGCTCCGCCGCGATGACGGCCGCGACGACGGTGTATGCGGCTGGCGTAGCATCGTCGGCATCCCTGACCGTGAGCGCGGGGTCGCTCACTGCTTCGTCTGGCACCTTGACCGTCGCCGGTATGAGCAGCGCCCAGGCCATCACGGGGACGACGACGCTGTACGCGGCCGGCATGGAAAGCACCGCCGCGGTGACGGCCGCGACGACGATCTACGGTGCCGGCATCCACAGCTCCGCCGCGATGACGGCCGCGACGACGGTGTATGCGGCCGGCGTAGCATCGTCGGCATC